TACAGCTCCACCCAACAATGTTGAGGAACTTTGTTCCTTTGCTGTATCTATCCAGTGTTTGGCTTGATGGAAGAAATCACAAATACATGTACATGACACAGAGGAATGGATGGTCTGAGACACTAACACTGATGTTGAGTCAGTGGCTGAACTCAGAAAAATGCTGATTCTTAAGCAGCCCAATCTCCTGTGGACAGACACCACTCCTCTCCGAATAGCTTTCCTCCTACTTAGTGAGGATGCATATTTCCTAACAGCCGAGCCATTGGCTTCACAAGCTGTGTCCCCTTTTAGCCGGGAGTGCTCTGCTCTCTTTTCAGGGTGATGCCTCCCACAGGGCATGGGACTTGTACTGGGAGAGACAGCCCTTTGGTCCAAGGCCAATTCCCTTTTTAAAATGAAAATCCATCTTCAATATCCAGTCAAGACCACAAACATAATTTTCAAGCCCAAAACTATAAAGAAAAAAACATTTACTGAAAATATTGTAGAATAATTTTCCAGGGCCTCTGTCCAGCTTATTATACTCTGAAAAGTGTCTGTTTTGGTGTTGCTGAATAAGTTAATGCATCATTGTGAAGTCTCATGTAATTTTGAGATACATATTGCATTATGATCTCAAAACAGTGACCATCACAAGGTCTGAGAAAGTGGTATTTGGTTGGGCCTCATCTCTTAAAACAAATGCAAACATGGCTTTTAATGGGAGCTGCTCACCTTTTGAAGGCCTGATAGATTTCATTCCTATGCTTCACTAAAAGGCCAGTCAGAAAAGATCAGAGATTTCTTGTTCTTCCCTGCAGCGGCAGAAACATTAAATCTGCTAATTACGTTTATAGTGAGCCAATATTCCTACATCTATTGTTAGAAGCCATAGCCAGTAGCGCAGAACTGGAGAAGCAAGTAGAAAGAAGAAATAAACAGGATCAACCAAAGGCTTTGCGAGGCCTCATGGATAATTCTTAATTCCTTTGAAAATCTTGCTTTTTTTTTTTTTTTTTTTTTTTTTTTTTTTTTATTATTATTTATCCTATATTTTCTTTTTCATCCTCCTTCTGCACCTTGCCTTAGATTTGCTCCTTTGTCTCCTTCTGTTTCTTTCATTCTTGCTTTTATGTTTTCTTCCATGTCACCTACTACCTTTTTTTGACTGTCTCAGACCTGCTGGTTTCCTCTTGTGCAAATCCAATGTGCTTTGCTTTTTCCTCTTCCATACTACTTGCACATGAAAGTTTCCTTCCTTACATAAACCTCTGCATGAATACCTACTGAAACTCAAAAATATCAAAGATGCTCTATCTCACTGAAGGAGTCAATACAGTTACTGCCTTTGAACATCTCAGAACAAACCTACTGTGTGTATATTGTAGTTACTGTGTGAATAAAATAGTGTTTCTAGAAGAAAGCATAAGAGAAAAGGACTTATTTTCCTCAGCTTTTGCTGCATATAGCTTGAAACTCCTGCTCTGAACACAAATTGCCAGAATCTGGATTGTTTTATCCTAACCTTTATAGGTAATCCTGAAAGCCTACTTAATCAATTGAAGATCATAAAATATTAGACTTAATACTGCAAAGTGCTGCTTTATAATTCACATAACAAGCTCCTAAATAATTCAAATAGCAAACATATCCTGCTACTCAGAGATGGGAGGTTGTTTAGATCAGCCGGAGAATGTCAACACATGCCACATCTCATGGATCTACTGCATTTCAGGAACCCTATTAAGTTAATTGCTGGTTTCTGACAGCAGAGAGCATGCTGGGAGCAGGGTGATCTTTATTAGCCTTTCGGGCATTTGCAAACATCAGCCATTTTGCCCTTACTCATATATACCAGGCACAGCATGGAGAATGTAAATCAAATCACGAGACAAGCAATGGTGTTGGCACCACCTTTGCATTGGATTCATTTGTGAATTAAAATAAAGGTTTTAATGTCAATTGTTTGCCTGCTACAATTCATAATAAGGCCATATACATATATATTATAAAAGTCTAATAAGAACAATCAAGTAATTACATCATTTTGCACTGCATATGTAATGCACATAAAAAGGTAATCAAACTGTGGTGCCTCACACCTTAATGAAAGTACTTTGAAGGCTATAAATAGACAAGAAGCTTCAGAATAAATTCACAACACAGTATACTTTTCATTAGGTACCTGCCTTGTAGTACTGATGTGAACAGGTGCTCTTTGTTCTTATACATGCTTTAGACCAATGTTTTGATTTCTAAATACCCCAAACACGCTTTTGTTCAGCATTTTCATTCTCTGTCTCTGTCTTTTGGCTACCTACTGATTTCAAAGAGTTCTAGAAGAGAAAGAGGAGGGGCAATATGAAAGAGTCTCTCAAATTATATGAGATGAAGTTCTACCCCTCAATTCCAGGCCTGATCCAAACCCCCTTGAAGTCATTTAAGAGGTTTGAAGATACTTTTGTGGTCTTTGGCTGACACTTATAGCTTTATTAATTCTACATGTTATGGACCACCCATTTTTCAGCAGGTGTGGAAGTTTTAGCATAATCAATCTAGCTGAAGATCTGGATATTTGGATACAAATACAGAATGCAAAATAAAGGGAAGAGAAAATATTTAGCTCCATAAATCAGTAAATATTTCTATTATCATTAAAACGGTATCCTTTAATCACAGAATTGTCAATGCAGAGTTGCATTCAACTGTGTTGCAAATATGATGCAAAGCCAGAAATCAGCTAGTGTAAAAACTTAAAATAAAATAACTAACGAGTCAGTCCACTATAGGCATGAAGAAACATCTCTTTTTCCTCCTCTGGACTCATCACAGATTCACAGTCTAATTTTTGCAGAACTCCACAGAGCTTTGTATTTCATGGCTTATCTTTTCATTAGCCACAACAGCTCTGGCCAACGTTGTTGCACAAACACTACAAACACATTTCTCAGGCACAGCTGATATTCTTTGGAGTTGAAACTACACATCTGAGGTGTATGAAAAATTCTAAGTTGCATATGATAGCTCCCAAACTGACTTGCTTCGTTTAATTAAGTAATTTTAAGAGTGAGCGAATTGATCAAAACAAGTATGACTCCTCTTTTGCGTGCATGTATGAGTGTATATATACACATACATGTGAGCATGTGTTCTATATTGCTTTGAAAGATGCTAAGTGTGGAGACTATAACTGGCTAACTGAATTTTGCAGTTCTCTGAAGACAGACAGGACCGTTGCAAAGATAGGACCAGTACATTCTGCTGCTTCTGATACATTTGAAAGCAATGGTTTCACATCATGGCATAAGACAGACATGTTTTACCTCTCAATGCAGAATATAGAAATTTTGTGATACACACAAAGTCTTCTTGAACCCATGAATCCAATCATTATAAATAGGAATATAGAAGTGTTACTTGCTGCTGTATCATCAGGCATTGAATAAATGCAAAGGTGCAGGCATCCCAACAAGCTATATCCCAAATCCATTGGCACTTAATCTAACATATATTTTACTAATTGAAACCTTTTCCTGTGGAGACTGTAGTTGAAAGGTACTATAATGATGCACTATGTGTAAATATCTCTTTAAAAAAAAATCAAACAAACAAAATTCATCAAGTACATTCATGCCTCTGAGTAGGTACTTGAGAACTGAGCAGCAGATTTAAAGTTTATCCTGAAGAGCCTCTTTCAGGCACTGGGCATGTATGAAATGGGTAAAACATTTTATAAGCCCTCTTTAATAGGGAGTCAGTAAAGGGCTGAAAGCTGTGGCTTCCAGCCTGCTGACATTCAAAAGGTGGGTGACAAGGTAAAGTATTGCGTGTTCCCTTCTGTAGTTTCTTTATCCACTGTGGATAACATAAAAAATCAGTCTAGTACCATGCATGAGCTGCAGCCATGTTTGATGTTTCATGAAGGATTCAACCGTGCATACTTTGCTGGAGGAAAAATGTGTGCTATTTATCACATCGGCTGTCTCTTTTCCAGGGCTGCCAACAATAACGTTATGCAGCGTTACAGAGCAACATGACAGATCGCTGGGTCTCGTGCCAGTAAGCGATCTCTGATAGCGCTGAGAACTAAATATAAAATCAGGAGCTGGAGAGGTGCAGAAATTATGAATCGTTTGGACTGCTTCATGGTTTACTAGAAAGTAGAGAACTCTGAAATGTCGGCTTTAAGAAAACTTGGACTGCAGAATCTAAAATATTAGGCACCCAGCAGAGGTTTTATACAGTAGTTTCCCCTAATCTCAAAAACATCTGTTCATTTTTAAAAGTAAATCTGTACACAGTTTACATTTCAGGGAGGGTCAGATTCCATTCTCCAATTTCCTTTTTGTGTGTGTGTGTGTGTGTATCATTTATTGTATTTGCAATCAGTGTGGTTTTTATCCCTGCTTTTTCCTCCTAGTGTTGCCTATCCCCTTGAAATAAAGCTGGATCATTTTCCAATCAAGTCATGTTTGAATGAAAATCATTCCACAAGTGTCAGCATGTGATATTCCCCTCTTTGTGTAAAATTAGGAACACCCCGAGCAATGAAAAAAAAAAAAAAAAGAAAAGAAAAGAAAAAAAAGCCACAGCAAAAACCCCCCAAACCTTCTGGAGACAGAGAAGGGATTTTCCTTGTACTCAGAAGTAGCAGGACTTCCAGGGCATATCACCAATTGATTACCCATTCAGCGTATTTTGTTTCCTTTCATAGCACAAATAAGATTTATGACAATTTAGAGCTGAGATGAAGTTTTGAAGCTTCATTTGATTTTTCATCTTCAAAGAAAGAAGGCCTCCAGAACAGAGGCACTGGGCTCTTACGACATAGAATTGATTTTTCTGGAGGCAGTGCTGCCTTTCACTGCCTTGACTGGAGGCCCTTTTTCTAGGAAAGCCTTCCCAGTAATTCAAGGGCTGGCAGTAAGCACAAGGAGATGTTCCTTCCTAAGTTTCTTTCTTTTCTCTAAACCATTGGTGCTGGTGTCCAGATTGCCCAAGGCACCAAGGATTTGTTTTTGAGCAAATTCTCAAAGCAGCCAGTCTGGTTGCATGATAGCTATAAGGTTGGCTCAGCCAGTTTCAGTTTAAGCTGCAACAAACAAACAATAAAAAAAGCAGGACAATCACAATCTGCTGATGATCAAAATACCTTTTCCTCACAGTAACACGGCAGCTCAACAAAGCAGAGAGAAAAGCACAACCTGTTTACACAAGCTTTCTGTGCTGAGAGCACTTGGTGAGTGATGCTGCAGAATTACTGCCAGTCCAGGTACCCAGACCCCGCAGGCAGTGCTGGAGAGGATCCCAGGTATGTCGGGAAATGAGCAGAAACCAGATCTTTGCATGAGAAGTCACTTAATTAGTTTATTTGTTTTCAGATTATTCTTTATTGCTACTTTCTGGTGAGTCAGTTATCATGGAAGCTAATGTTTTCCTGAAGAATCAGAGGTAATTTTGAATAGCAAGACAGAACCTTCAACTAGATTGCTCTGTGCATCTGGTGTTGAGAGCTGACCTGTCCTGTTAAGTAAACATTGTTGAATTATGGTTCGTAATGACATTTGTGGCTTTATTTCTTTTTACAAATTATAGTAATCTTGCCTGGAGCTCATCAGCTTCTGAATCACCATGGCTAGATCCGAGTCTACTAGAGTGGATCACGCCCTTTGGGCCTGGTGCAGTCGGACATGGTTGATTTTAGTTGTCATTGCTATGTTTGGCTCTACAAGCCAAGTGTGTGTCTATGTAAGGACACTGAAAGTCAGCTGAGACTGACTTTGCAGTTCAAAGGCAAAGTCCCTTGACCATTATGGGAACAAGTCTTATCGAGCACTTCCCTTCTCGCTGTCAGCCTGTGGGTCCCAGTAGATGTGAATCCATGTTTGTTGCAGCTGGACGTTGACAAATGTGTAAGACGTTGTATCTGATAGCAAGGAGATGTACAAGTAAGTATAATCTTCTCACTCCTGGCATTTCTAACCACTTTGTCTTTCTTGTTCTTCCAGCCGCCTTCTTGTTAAGCAATATGAGGCAAAGGACAGAGCTTGTAAATATTTGCCTGCAGGAACTTTAGAGATGTAGGGACAAATGATAAGAATGCTCAGTCTTTAGGGAAAGGCCTGAGGTCCTTCAGGACATTAATGTTTATCCCCAGAAGCTTTTTGGAGACAGGACAAAAATATTTGTCAGTATTGAATGAATCAAATAGTGCAAAACACTCCAGAAAAATAGGTCTTTTATCTGCTTTTTACCTGAAGAGAAGGAAGGGACACCCAAGGGAAATGACTAGTTAGTTGGTTATTTATTTATTTATTTAATCTAAACTTTGATCCAGCTCAAAGGCCATGGTGAATGACTGCAGTAAAATGGATGATCTTTTGTGTTTCATGTGGCAGTTGTGATGCCTGGTGGGAAATGTAGAGGTTTAGAGTTCTCTACTAGCTCCAGGAGGATGAAATAATTTTCTGTATTGCAGATTTGATCAGGCTGACTGTGAGGAACCACAACACTGGCAACCAGGAATTGGCAATTCAGAGAAAAAAAAAATATATATATATCAAGTGATCTTTTTTGTTGTTCTGCTGATAGGACTATTGCATATTTCAGAGCAGATAACTAATTACTTCATGCAAGAAGATATTTTCAGTGATAAACCTTTTAGTATGTTGGTGGACACATACATGACACGGAGTCAAAAGAACATATCCTGGTTGTCGTTTATATTATTTCTGTGGATTGAATGTATCTATCAAGATCATGAGACTGAAAAGCAAAATACAGGCACAATCCTGAATCCTGAAAATGTCTTTTCTTGTTTATATTCAGAGCATTCAGATTGGTATAGTACTGGATAATATTTTAAGATTAAAAAAATAATAATAATCCTGTAAAGAAAAACAGGGTCTTGTCTAATGATGAAATTTTCCTTGGGCAAAGATAATTTTAGGAGAAATGTCTTCATGAAAGAATTTAGATGAAATATTTCTACTTACAGTTATCAAACCCTTGTTGTGGACATACAGTATGGTCAATGGAAAGAAAAAAAGAAAGGAAAAAAAAAAGTGGCAATTATCTAAATGCAAGCAAGAAAATACGACTTTTAAAAATGCTTCTTAATTTGAAACTTCTATTTTTGTGTGTGTTTTGGTAGGCTGATAATGAGAGATCTGGATTAAGACAGGTTTTGCAAAATCAAACCTAGATTAGAAAGGTTGATGAGACCAATGTAAAACCATCTCAGTTTGCTCAAAACTTTTATCTGTTTCCCTCTTCAACTCTAAACTTTCGTGGATGAGATAAAATAGAAACTGAATCCAAACAAGCCGGTTTTGCAAAAGCTCCTCAGCTCTCCTCTAAAAATAAGATTAAAGAAATCCTCTAGGCTGCTGGAGATGACTTTATCTTGTTACATTGCAAACCTCATTCCCTTACTTTAAATCTTCTTCTCTCTTACTAAAGATAACTAATATGGATGCTGAGAACCATTGTATTCTGTTGACATCTTTAAACATAAAGCAAGCTATCAATATCTGGCTTTTGAGGGGTCTCTCTACTACTATTCTCAAGTACAAAAGTTTATAGTCATATCATTATGAGAAAGACACATTTCTACACATGCTAATGGAATTTACTTTTGTGAATCTTATTGAGGAACCTGGGACACCGAGGATGTTATTGTAGTATGACTTACGCTGGTGTAACACCCCTGACTTCAGCAGAATTATGTGTGATTTACTCTGTGCTATCCTAGAATAGACATGAGTCCTGTGCCATTGTGATAGGAAAAAAAATGGACACAAAATTCTGTGTATCTATTTAAGATCATTTATTCTAAAGAGATATGTCACTTGTCACAAATGTGACAAAAAAAATATTTTACAATGTGATTTTTCTGGAGCCATATTAAACTTTACTTGAGATGAACTTAGTGTGGCACATCTAGACATTTGTCTGGACGTGTCCTGCATATTTTTCACAGGAATTCTTGTTTTTAAAATAGTAGTAATGCTAGCAGTTTGCATAGAGCTGTCAATATGCAGGATTTGTGGCAGAGAAGTATTTGGGAAGAGGAAGGAGGAGGCATATTCTTTTCTCTAGATTTGTAAATACTTGAGATGAGATTCTGGCTCAGTGTCCCTTCTCCAGCAAGAACCTATTGAAAACATTGACTGACACAATAGTTTAATAAGGATCAACTAAAATTACCTAGCTCTCCCAGTATTTTCCTTGGTGATGTTTTTCTTCACTTTTATTTAGCATGGTGTGATGAGTCCATTTCACTATCTGACACCCCATGGGCCAAGTGCATCCGTGTTGTAACAAGATCTCTCACATTTAGAGAATTACTTGGGGATGAATGTGGTCTCTTGTGTTTGAAATAAGTATAATACAGACACTAAACTGTGGATTATCATTTCCTAGTGGGAGATCTGTGTCTTGTGATGAGATTAAGAGGATGCAGCTGTGAATGGGACCAGTTTGGCTATATTGCCCTAAAAATTTAACTAGAGTAACTTTGGGTTGTGAAAGACTGGCTATGTGCTGTGTTCAAGAATAAGCTCCCACATAAAATCCTCGCAAAGCATGTGCAAAGCTCCTTTGTGGTAAAACAGAGCTGTTTTGACTAGCCATATATGTTTCCTGTGTAAATCCGCCACATCCTGGTCTATAGCTCACTTGCATATCAAGTTTTCATGTGAGTCAGATTCCCAAGGCATCTTTGCAGAATAATAAAGTCATACATGACCGTGTAAACGATACCCCTGAAAAAGCCCCTTAGTCTTCTTTTCAAAGTTATTTCCAAAACCAGATTTACACATTCCATTTTCAAAAGCTGCTCAGATAATTGCCAAAACAAGAACGCTCCGCTACACTCATCTCTAATTAGTAAAATCTGACTTTTGTCTTCCTGTGACAATAGCTTTGTGTGTCTCTGAGAAAAGGGGAGATTTATAGGATATTGGTGATATTTATTTTGAGATGACATTTTTTTCATCACTGTAATGTAACAGAATTAAAGGCGGTATTTCTGTTCATTTAAGTCGTAATTTGTGCATTTCTTTTATCATTACAATCCCAGAGAATGTGGAAGATACAAAATCAGTATAACACATTAGCAATAGATAATGCAGTCTAAATAAACATAATAAGCTTTCCTATATGTCTCTAGACCAAACCTTATCTAAAAATACCCTAATGAAGCTGAACCATCCAATTACTCGTTTCTTGGAGGAACCCCTTATTAATGACATTGCAGTGAGGGAAAAACATTAATTATTGGACACAGTGGGATCTTTTACATTCTGTCTAGTCTGGACAGCACCAATTAATACAACAATAATTATCAGCTACCATGGCAGGTTCGCTGAGCAGAGCTCCTATCTGCTGATTGGGTGGGGAATGTGGGACAGCTCTTGGGGTGCGCGGATTTCACATACTTAGGCCTCTTTTATTTTTTCCATTGCTATGTGAAAACTGAGTCCTGCAGATATTAAAGCAGGTGGATTGCTGTATTCAGGCAGGGGCTGCTCCTGTGAGAAGGAAAGCACAGGTACCATCATGTGAGAAATGCCATTTTCTTCTCCATCGCACACCCACCTGCTGTCTGACTTTCTGTCATTTGAGATTTAACATGATCGCTCAGTTGATAAGGTGAGTATGACAGTGCAGGCTTTTAAAGCTGTCTGTTTGCTTGCTCTCCTGTCCGCTCTCCAGCTACCTTAAAATGACAGTTTACAAATGCAGAAGCAAATGTTGACATGATTTATTGCCAGCACTATTGCTACAGTCTTGAAGGTGGAATACCTATTCTTGATCAAATGTGACCTGAGGCAAGCACCAAGTATGGGAAACTTTGTCTCTAAGGGTTCAAGTCTGCAAAAGTTGTAAGCGAATGACGAGAGGAGGAACAATGGAAAGTGTTAGACAACCTGAATAACAGGCGTTACTACTCCTCTGCCTATAATAATAATAATTCACCTTTTATCCATTGAAGATAAAAGGACACAATGTGGGAAAATTAAGCTGTATAGACATCTTGGGGATATCTCATCTGAGATCACATACCACTTCTTTCTTGTGGTTATCATGATTTTATCAGAGGCACTTTGAAGTCTATATAGCCTTATATCTCAGTTATCTACATTTCATCCTGTATGTATTTATTGCAGATGGGCCTAAGCTGCTAAATTCAGATCCAAATCCAGATTCTGATTTTGAACTCCCTAAGGTCCGTAGCTAGCTTGAAGCTAGGGCTTTGGTTTGGAATCATCTCTATTTATGGGTAAGAAAAAGGGGCTTAATATATGCTCTCCCAGACTACATAGCTCTATATATGTGCACACCAAGGTACTCTCTCACTCATGCATAAATCCAGGGAAAACAGAACATGGCTATGTAATTAAAAGCTGCCTACACTGTTATTCGTATTTTAAAGAGGGATGAATTTATAAATGAGCCGTAGCTTTGACATTTCTTGATTTGTGAGTGCTGTGCTGTACAACCCTAACAAGCTTTAAACATGCTTTAAATCTGGGACTCCAGTGTAGACATCCCCAGCTCACCCTTGTGCACAGGTAAATGTGATGGACAAGCAGTATATTTTGAAAATCTTAGTGCACCGGAGTCTGTGTTCCTGTGTTACCTGTAGCCCTTGACTCCAGCAGCAAGCAAGTGATGCCACAGATGTAAATAGGGTTATAAAAAAACAGGCTGCCACTTTATTTAAAACTCAAGAGGGATTCCCGGGAGGAATTGGTGTCCCATTCACAGGGAGAGGACACCAAAGAGGTGCACCAGAAACAAACTTCCCTTGTTCTGAGACAAGGCTGTGTAGGATAAGCAAGCCCTCTGCATCTGAGGGGAACCAGAAGTGCTGCTACCTTTTGCATAATACTGATGTGCTAATTAGGGCACTGATATCCTCAGAGGGCAAGCTCGAATCTGATGATATGTACAAAACACACACTCTCTCTCTCACACACACACAGAAGCAAAGCAGAATGAGACAGGCAGTGCAAGCAGAAATCAAGAGAAAAACAGCAACAGAAATAGCATAAAAAATGCACGTCCAAGAGATCGGGTGGCATTCCTTTGTCAGCAAGCTGGCTGGCTATACAGAGGCACTCTTCCATCCAAACATTTCCATTTGTTTGGCAACTCCAGTGTGCTGCACAGGGACAGTCCAGACTTGCTGTGTCTTTTTGTTCTTCTCCATACACTTGATTGAATGATAACATATTAAGCATGCAATAGCTCTCAGAAAGGCTTTACAGTGGTATCAGGATGTTATCAGTGGCAGTTGTTCTGTGATTTGAAGCATTTTGTACTAGCATCTCTTTTCCCCACTCTTCTGTATCACTTGGGCTTCCTAAACCTAACAAGGTGATAAAATGCTCTCCACTAGGGATAATCCATTTTCCCAATATAACTTAATTCCTTAAAGCTTCACATCTGGAAGAGACTTCCAGAAACTACATCTCAGCACCAGGGAGCTGGCATTTCCAGCTCTGAAATACCATTCCTTGAAAATAAAAACCCTTTGTCTGGCTAAACACATATTGTGTCTGGAAATGTTGAGGAAAAGGCATTTCCACATCAAATGTTTATTTATGATTATAAATATCCTGCTAAAATTAATGAGTGCAAAGAAAATGATACTGAAACTAGATAGGCATTATTATACTCTAGACCCAAATAGGTATTTCTTCCTTCCATAAAACCTTTTAATTTAGCATTGTAAGTATGATGTAACACTTCTGTTTGCAATAAATTGTAAGAAATGTCAGTTTTTAAATGATCGTCAAGTCTTGTTGCAACACATTTCATCATCTGCAAAATAAAGGAAAGCCACAGAGAGACAGTCAGTTTTTCAGGAAATCTTAAAAAATAAAAATGAAAAAAATCATCAGTAGCATCTCCCCACAGTTACACTAAGGCTCTGTAAAACTTTCTTTCACTTGTCAGATTATGGAGAAACAAGTGACTGAGGGGCAGTCTCTTAAAATCACGTACTTTACTAGCACTCAGGGCAATCCTTAATTTGCAGAAGCCATTCACCATCCTCAGTGTAAAATGTGCTTCTTTCTCCCCCATCACAATGCCAATGTTCCTCAGGCTTTTTAGTCCAAACCTTGCTTTAATCCATGAAGGACATCGTTCTCCAGAAGGCAGGGGGAGGAGAAGGAGAAAGGAAGGATCAGAGGGGAAGCAGAACAAGAACAAGATGAAGGGAGGGAGCTGTGTCATACCTCATTTGCTGGTCATAGGGCACCAGAGGTTGAGAAGCATTAATAGAAGTTATCCCTCAGCACATGAAGGCTGTAAAAACTATAAAAAGAGTGTGTCAGGGACACTGTTTAGTAGCATCATCACCATGGGATGATTTAACACTGTGGGATTTCTTAGTGCATATTCTGCCAGCACCATTAGCCTGCCATGCCAAGATAATGAAGATAACCCACGTTCACATACTTTTCTTTGGTCCACAGTTAGAAATTAGATTCCTTGACAGTCCGGAAATGTTGTTCTGATAAGCATCCACATATTTTTAATTCTCTTCCTTTGATCTCCCAAGCAATCCAACCATTTCCCAAAGATCCCCCTTCAGACCTCTAGCTCCCACACAACTGTTATTTTCAGCAATCTATAACAAAAAAAAAAAAAAAAAAAAAAAAAAAAGCTCCTACATGGATTAAATCGAGTGTAATCTAGAAACTGAATAAAATCCTAGAGAATCATTTAAAATTGGAGAAGAGAAAGTTGTAATCAAATCTTCTCTAAAAAGTGAAAATGGACTGATGTAAATTTTTTAATGAAGAAGTCTATTCTTTGTATAATATTAAGCTTTTTAGTTTCTAGACTATTCATTTACATCAGATATCTAGTGACCTGTCTCTTGGCTGACACACTGGCTTCATTAGCAACTCTGAAGCAGAGGTAGCTCAGAGAGAAACCAACTTACAGCAAAAACGGACTCTGAGGCAGGGACAGAAGTGAAGAAATTGGCTTCATCCAGTTCACCACAACTATTTTTTAAGACTCAAAACACAAAAGAGTTTTTATTCTCTTAAAGAGAAATATTTTCATTAAAGCTGAAATGTACTGAAAAGACCATCAAACATAACATTAACTTAATTGGTGACAAAATCTAACTCAAAATTTCCTGATTTTTATTCGTCTAATTTTAGTAATGAGCCACAGTATAAACAACAGCACCAATTAATTTGTTTTCTTTTAAGAAGTCTCATGCTGTACCTAAAAGACTGTTGTTCTGTCTAGTTAAACACTCATGCATTAAAATGCTAATAATTAAACTGTTACGACTGACTAATGAACTCTGCCAACTATAAATGATGGTCTTGTTAGATTCACTGCACAGCAAGGCTTCCTTTGTACTGAAAAAGTTAAAGGTTAAAGAGCTCTTGAAAACAGCGAGCAGCATCTAGAAGCAATTACATTTTTTTTTCCTGGAAACTAATAGTTGTACAATAATGTTTCAATTCGCACTCAAAAAAAAAAAAAAATTACTATGAGCTCCATTCATCAGAGCAAATCTGTAGCTTTCTACACCATGGCAGGTTGTTAATTTGACTTCTGCATCCAACATACTCAGCCTATAATCTAGTGTTTTGTAGAACCTTTTAGTGGTCCTGCTCATGGAAACCAAAAGGGCAAAGACTCAAGCTTGACTCACGATACCTGTTGAGTAGCACTCATATCAGAAAAACGCTATGAGACTGAATGTCAGAAGGCTCATATGGCAGATTTACTTGGATATAGTGTTCGTTCATTAGCTGTCCCTGTGCATTGACTTCCATACCATGCAGTCTCTGGTAAATGAAGTAGACAGAGCTGAAACTTGAACATTATGCCTGTAAGGAAGCATCTGTGGTTATGGCTCCGTTCCTTGACATATACTGCCCAGCTGAGAAGATGTGGGATTCCAGTGTAATCACTCAACAAAATAGTGTCTCAGAATCAGGACTTTCCTACATGTCCCCAGAAATTAAATAGGATTCTCAATTATTTCTCTCTTTTACAAATTGCTTGATCTCAGATTAATCATTAGAAAAGAATTTCTCTGAATCTTAGATGAAATATGTCTAGTGGTGAATGAAGCTAATGAGATATAATTGAGCATCTACAGAAGTGCTAAAATTCAGAAAAGTAAATGATTTTTTCCTGTCTAAATTGGGGCTTATATTCATCCATCAATTTTATATCTACACTTTATTATTAATTTGCCTCTGCACTGAAGAGAAGCTACTTCAGACCAATGGTAACTACCTGCCTAGCCACATTATACAAGATCTCTGGAAGAGATTTAAACATGTCTGTCTGAATGGAGTGAATACCATCACCAGAGCAGTTCTGACCTTTGGCTGAGGAACAGCAGGCATCAGTCAAGGGCAGCAACTGTGTGGTATCTCTGCTGACATTTTCTCTTTGTGGTGGGCCTGATAGACAACTGCTCTTCTTGTTGGTCTTCCCAGGGGCGACCCTGTTCATTGCTGAAGTTGCATAAGGATCTGACTGGATTTACAGTCCTACTATTGGATTTTCAACAGAAAAATATGTCAAGAGACATAAAGCAGGTGTAAAGGAAGAATGTCCTTGTTCTTTGATTTTTTAAATTCACATGGTTCATTTACTCAAACGACCCATTTAAGTCACTTTTGAAGGTGTGCTAAGAACACGTAGGCCTGACTCTTAGACCTACACTTAGACAGATTGCACTGAGCTTCATGAGTGATCTCGAAACCAAGTCTTCCCAAAGGAAAATATCTTCATGTGTGATATTTGAAAACAGTTCTGGTCAGGAGTTGTAGAGCTTGCTCCTGGTCATGGACAGCCTGGGGCTGTAATGAGTTCAGACACAGACAGACAAGCTCTTGGAGCCATTAACAAAGCTTTCAGCTTCTTGTTTTGCACATCCAGAGTGACAGCAAGTGCACCTGCAGAGTTCAGATGACATCTCTGCAAGATGACTATTGCCAAACCTCTTTTTTTTTTTTTTTTTTTTTCATTTGGATAGCCATGTCTCCTGAAACAAACATACTTGTCATATTACAGGTGTCAAAATTCTGAAGATCTGCCTGATTTGATGGTGTATGTCCTAAAACTACACTCCTAATACCAATCCAAAAACAAAGTCTTTGGCACTCTTGTTTTTTCACTGTTAAACTTACAATACTGGTACAAAACAGGCACACAACAGATGATTGTGAAAGGGCTATTGGTATGAATTATCTTAGGAACTGGCTGCTCAGATTTGGAAAAGAATCTTGTGAATTTGGCTCTTTTTCGTGCAATGCTGAAAGTCATTAGGAACACAGACACTGATTTTCTAATCAGAAGATATTCACAGCATCATCCTTTTGACACTTAGAGAAACCCTCACTTGGAATATATGGCATGCCTGAAGGACAACCCTCTCACCTCTTATTTTCATATCTGCAGCTATTTCAACACTGTGGTTTGGGATACACAGTACACTTAACAAATTACGTTAAATTAAGGGTCTTTCCCCATCATGTTTGTAGCTGACAGGAGATAGGAAACACATAGAATCTATTTGGTCAGCATCTTATCATGAGATTTCTAGTGCAGTGTTCGAAGTCCAATGAGCAGAATAATTTGGATTTCCCTTATTATACAATTGTAGGGCTAAGACAGGCCTCTGAAAGGCAGCTCAGCAAACAACATCTTTTGAGCTCTTCCCTGATCTTTGCTGCTGGCAACTTGAAATGAACAATAGTGTAGTGAGGACCTCAGTGTGGATATTAAACCAAAAAAAGATCCTGTAAACATTAAAGCCACTGAATAAAAGAGAAATTACCAAAATAGAAATTCACAGGAACGCACTGGTTTTGAAAACTGACTTGATTGATGTTGGGCTAGTTATTGCTTAGGAGAGAAAATTGGCAAAAAAAAAAAAAAAAAAAAAAAAAAGAGTAGAAAGAAAAAGAAGGTTTAATGATAAAAATGTATTATATGAGAGAGGAGGTAGTAAACACAAAGAATGCTTGCAGGGAAAATTATGTCAGCCATGGCTGTCTGAGACCTTGTGTGGTGGCATGATGAAGAAGAGATAATACTTCTACATGCAGATAGCTACAGTATAAAATATATTTCACTCCTTTACATTGTCCAGCTTCCTTAGAATTCCTGTTTTTGATATCTAACATGAAAACAGATACATCAGCTAGGATATATTTCATAAATGCAACAACAGTAAAAAGAACCAACTTTTATCAAAAAAATAAAAAGAGTATTATAAGTACCAGGGAAAAGTTTTGTGAATCCAAGCTATCTTTTCAAACACTCAGACCACCCCTAAAATAGCAGCTACAGTTCACAGGGGCCAGAGCTACACAAATTCCAGCTCTCCCTATGTGGTAAGTCTAATACTTTCTTTTCTTATGCTTTAAGGACTTCAAATAGGGTTTGTGCATTTGACTCCTTTTATCTCTTTCATAGAGTTCTCTCTGCTTTTAAATCCCTAAGTATCTCTGTCCTCCCCCTGCCATTCCTTAACAGATCCAGGACAGCACAAATAATGCCTCTTGGCTTTGAACACATCATGGCAAATTTCACTGACAGAGGAAAGATGTATGAGCAGTTATCTGGGATAGTTTTACACCAATCCATCTATTGTACGCTATGTTCACAATCTTGGGCTGGAATGAATTTCAGGCAAAGTGCATCCCTCGCAGACCACTTAAAAACAGAATAGGTTCTGTCTGAAGGCCCAGTTCTATCTGATGCTAAGCACCTTACAGCAGCAGGACCTCGCCGAGAAATATTTTCCTTAAACTTCTTCAGTGCTGCATAGGGCTTTGTCTCTTGACAATGAAAAGATGACAGGAAGATGGTAAAAGTTTAGTTGCCTAAAATCCTAAACAATTCTAGGAAAAAAAAAAATGATCCCATCTGCCTGAGAGGATACCAAGTCAATATGCAAAAATGATGAAGGAAAAATCTAAAGGAAGAAAAAAACAAAACCAAAACTAAAACCGACCACTTGCCACTCACAGCTTCTTGAAATCATGACCCTGCAGGTTTCTCTGGTGCTTCTACTTTCAGGATATATATGCAGTGTTTTTGGAAGACAGTATGTGAAAGGACTCACCTGAATAAAGCTGAAGAATTTCCAATTGCATCTGCAGGACTGGAGCTTTTGTAAGATATTAATGACAGAGGCTTGGATTTCTTCTGTACTGTGCCTGTCATTCTTTTGAGCATGGTATAAAACAAGAGCAAATCATTACAATTCCAGGATGAAAATCCCATCATTTGCATTTTCTAGGTATTGTTTAATCAGTGCATCAAGAGGTAGGCTATTTGGTGTCTCCATCATACTCTGCTTAAATACTTTGACATAAATTTTAGCCTTTGTTGAGAAAAACAATGCTTATAGAAAAACAGAGACAATGCTGTGATCGTATTACAATTCTGAATGCAGAAATTTTATGTTTCATCTAAGATGTAATTGCATCATGTGAAAAGTTGAGCTGTAAAAAAAATAGGAAATGCTTGCAGTTTAAACTGTAAAACATTTCAAAAGTAAAGCATATTTTTGCAAACATTTTTGTACCAATTTATTTTTAAGCATCCAGATCACTGGCAGAGAAAACAGAGCTCATGTAATAAGGGATTGCTATAAGTAGATTTAATATACTCTAGCATTTAAATATTCTTGTTGATCGTGAAAGATTAAATGATCTTTGGTTTAAATCCTAATGTTGAAAACAGAAATTTTATTTTTCTTGAATGTGGCAAATAAGTTTGAACCAAAATGTAAATGCTTAACAGACTCTGTGCATGTGTGCACGCATGCGTGTGATGAAGGGATGGGGCATTTTCCCCAAAGCTTCAATTTCAACTTATTTGTTATCATTGTTCATTAACTGTGTGGTTGACCTAAGATGAGCCTGAAGGATTACAGAATATTTGTCTAACTATTTAACAGAAGCTTATAAAATAATAGTATTCATTAAACACCTCAGGTTTTCCTCCCACTGCACTGAAAACATACAAGGACTGGATGAGATGAACACAGGCACAATCGTGAGTCAGATGTGACAGATCAGCTTGGTTTAAATAGGTAACCCAGTCCCCAGTGTAACTATATTAAAGGCAGTTTTTGAGAAACCACTGTCAACAGCCAGATTTCATGCCGATTTGTTTCTGGATGGGAGCTGCTGTTTTTCTCTGGGTGGCTGAGTAGCTGGGATAATCAAATTCATGTCACCAGCAAGCAAGGGGTGGACTGAAAGGCATGACTAAATGGGTAGGAGAGTCAGGATAGTGTTTCACTGTCACCTATGTCCTTAAAATACTGCTTACACTTGCTGTTACATTTGCTGTCTATGTAGTTTCTCATGGGAACTCTCATGATTTTAGGATCACAAAAGTAAAGCCATGAAAAGCTATGCTGAGAGCAGAGCCCTGTGGTACCATTATCATGTCTGATGATCACCAGTTTAGAGTATGCTTCAACAAGGGAGGACTGTGTGTCATCCTTTCTCATGATCAGCAGTACAAATCCCAGAAATGTTAGTGGCAGGGCATGAATGACCAAGAGTGAGAATGACCAAAGAATATGACTCAGAAATTGTGAGAGATGCTGATGTGACTTGCAGGAAATTTCCCCTCCAGCTGTAGTAATAGATTTAAAAAAAAAATATTATTCTGTAAAAATTAAGCAAAATTAAATAGAAGAGAAGCTGCAAGCTCTGGATTTGAATTTTACCAGCTGTGACCTGTTTGGACAGGAGCAGTGATGAAGCCCAAACCCCAGCCATAAGGTGTTCTTTACTAGTGCTTCCTGATGACTGTACTATCTGCAGCTGTTACATGTTAAAGAAAAAGGTAACCTAATTTCTGCTATTTGATTGAAAAAAGGTCTCATATCTTAACAGAAAAGAGAGGTCCAAAATTTTGACACCCAAAGTCTGTTAGAATAAAAAAATAGCATATGGAAATTATCTACATGGGTTTTTTTTTTTAGGATCTAGCGGATGTGCTTAGGTTAACAGGCTTGTCTGTTCAGGATCCTCTGCTTGCACTTTTCGTTAGCTGGGCCTGAACACAAATAACTTTTTCCATCCTCAGCTGCAGGATACTATCACACCAGCCTGTAACATAAATTTCCTGCTACGGCAGATCTGATGTCTCATTCCAAATTTCAGTGGGACTCGAAGTCCATGTGTCCATACCTTGCTCTTTCAGGAGCACCAGCTGGACACGTCACTGGACTGGTGGTGGGGATTCCCAGGTCAGAAGATCCTTCTGAGAGACTGGAAAAAAGTTGAGACCAAATTCCCAACTTAGAGTTTCCACATAAAATTTCAAAGACACTTTTCTGAATCTTATCTGGGATGGGATTCAGCTCAAAATTTACTCAACCTGGCTGACATAAGCAGACAGTGCATGGCATGAGTTTACCCAGAAATAGACCTTAAGACCATCTTTAATATAATTCTTTGGCACTTGAGGGCTCCTCACTATTTAAAGAAGTACTTCCTTTCTAAGCCCCTATATAAGATACCAGAAAAACAAGCAAACAAAACACACACACACACAAACACAAAAAAAATCCCACCTCCTTTAGGCTGATGCTTTTGTAGCTTTTGGAAAGTTTGGTAAAAATCCATATGGTTGGTTTTGAGCATGCTTAAAGAATTGTTTCAGATGTTTTACTTGTGCTTGGGTAACTGAAAACAGTTCAAACTTGGCATGGAGTCTCCAGTGAGAAATGTGGGCTTGGATAAGTTGGAAAAAAAATTGGTTCAGAAAGAAAGGAGTTATAAACAAGTGGAAATAGTATGCTTCAGTTATCCAGATGTATGCCAGGCAAGCATAGACGTCTGGATATTCACATGCTGAAATAAATGCATCTGTATTTATTTAAATGTGTGATGTAATGTTCATGTGCAAACATCTCAGTAAATGGTAGGCATGTTAATTTTTCCCATCTCACGAAATAAATATAGACAATACATGAGATATACATATATGTACAGCTTAGAAGAGTCTGGCTGACCAAGGGAATGACCCAGAGCGCTTGGACGCCAATGAAAAGACTGTTCTTAAATGTGATGGAATATGGATCAGACTCCAATGCCCTGTTCCTGTTCCTGTATTAAAAAATAGAAAGGGTAAATACACATGTAAAATGTTAAAAACCTCATCAATCCTTGAAAGTTTCCATTACACTATCTCAGATAATTCTCAGTGCCAACTGTGATGAATTAAATGTTTCCACAGCCAGCAAAAGCTGTTCAAAACCCAGAATGTAATATACGATTTTCTTGATTCAGAATTTCAAAACACAACCTTTTAAACAGGAGTTCAATCATCAAATCCACAGGAGAAGTAGCTCTGGGTTTTCTTGCTGAAAATCCAAATTACTTGGGTGCCAAATCTTCATATGCCTAAAACCGGTGTCGCTCCCTTGACTTCAGTGGAGCTATGCTGATTTACACCAGCTGCATGGCTGGTCCATAAATATTTTCAGTTGATCTGGATTATTTTATATATTATATGAATTTTCTTTATGGATTACATGGCAAAACATTTGTTCTCAGCTTCTATAATGTCAGGCTCTGTGAATTTGTTTTAATGTGGGACCATTCGTGTGGTTCTACTATTGCACAACCGAATGCATTTGTGCTTGTAACATGATTTCCCTACACATCCTCCCTTCTATGCACTCACAGGCATCCTAACAGAAGAATTACTATCACTCCCTCCAGCCCTAGGAAGTAATACGTTGGTGTGAAAGGGTGAATCCACAGATGCTGGGGGAAGCACAGACCTGACCATCAAGATGTTGGTCATGTAAAAATTTCCACCCTAACTCTACACTAAGTGTAGCTGTTTGCATGTAGTTATATTAGTGAGGCTTTAAAGTTAATCATGTGTGTTATTAATTGTAGGGAATTTACGCTGGACACTTCACTTAGGACTTTGACACAAAGGTAAATAGATTCCACAGATGCTGAGTAGTGGGATAATGAGATTTTATTAAATCTCTGGTTTTCCACTCTTGTAATGACACTGACTGCAGGTCCCCTCTTCCATGCAGCATTTTGTTTGCAACAGCTCTGCCTCCTAATTACGGCGCACAGGGCTTGGGTTTACAATGGGGTTGGTGAATACACTCCAGCCTTTCATTGCTGACCTATGGGAGGTGTGCAGGCAGGTGTGCAGCTACCTCCATGGAGCCTGAGTGGGCAGGACAGGCACTGCTGATGGGGGTACAGGCAGGGAAATGTCCCCTCAGCAGTCCAGGAAAAAGTGATTAGTTTTTCTAGCTACACAATCCCATTTAGGGCACAAGTAAATGCAGCATAGCTACATTACATTTGTAAAGGATGTATAAATAATTATTTCCTAATATATGTTCTAATAAATACAGGATTATTACAGAATCCTGTAACAATAACTTGCTTAACACCATCCTATCACTGTCTCCTGTTTTTCCTCTCATTATGTATAACCCATAACACTCTGGTCTGTAGCATGTTTAGCTTGTGTTGGTTGTTTATTAATCCTTGATAAACTATTCATCAGTTAAATGTTAAAATAAAACATGATCAAAGGAAAGGCGATGAACTTGCACAAGCAAGAGACTATTGGTCTGGCCCTCAAAACCCATGCAGCCATCTGATAAAATCCTCCTGAATCCAAATTCAAGTAGTTGCAGACTGAGATTTCAGTATATGGTCTGGTAAATTGGCAGAGCCTGAGAGCAGTTACCAGCACCTGCCCAGATGGTACCTATCTTTGTTTTTATAAGCCCTACTTTCATTTACAGTTTTCTAGAAGAGAAAGTTCAAAGCAGCTACAACTATTTAATATGTGTAGACTTTCCTTTATATGCCAGAGAAATTAATACTAAAGAAATTTCCTCAGTCGTCTTAGCCTGCAAGTGCTGTTTAAAAATCCAGCCGGACTACCAGCCCCATTTCCTAATACCTGCAGGCTTCCTGGCATTAAGCACATGCAGCACCTCATGAGGAAGAAGCATCATTGCCTGCATGGTACATGGGTGAAACTGAGGCATGGGGAGGCTAAAGATACCAAGAGCAAGTAGCATTTGCTTCAAGGACAAGAGCTCCAGTGAGACTGGATACCAGAGGCTGTTCATTCTGCTGAAATTTCCTCTCCCTGGCTGCCGTATGGGCTGGAGCACAGACAATGCAGAGGAGAGACTGTCAGCCTGCTCTTCCGCTGGTGCATTAAAATAAAGGCAAAGCTCAGGAGGGTTAAAGGCTGTGGAACTCAACATTAAACAGTCCAGCAATTCCAGCAGGGGTTAAGACAAGCCTGTGACACCGGGAGACACGACGGGACTCTCCTTCTGTGCTACATATGTAGATGGGTATTGAGGACATGCATCTCTCCTCATCGAAAATCATGAATTTTTATGAAGTAAGCCCTGCTTTCCCATAATTCAGTAGGGTGCACTTTGCAGACCCTAAAGTGCTGTCACTACAGAAGGTTTCATTGCTTGCACCTGCTAAAACATTTGAGGTATTTGAGAGGCAGTGAAACACATTTGCTTTTCATTTTATCTGACTTTGAAAATCTTTGAAGTGTTTAATAGTAGTCCAGAAAAGATTTCTGCCTCTTAATCATTTACTTGTAGGGCACATTCTCCACTGGTAGCCTGTCAGGCAGAAAACGAGTTTAGCCCAGTTTTATTAAGTGCCACATGCCGAGTCAGTGTTCATTAAAGGTGTTTTAAGGTTTGAATTATGTAATTTATGAGAAAAAGAAATACAAAATTCCATTGTTTTATTAATATGCAGCACAGGATATACTGCTAATAACATACTTTTTAAACAGAAGTTTTATTAAAAAAAATGCTTTTATAGGGGGCTACAGATAGGCTTTTAAAAATCTCTTTTTCCCTGTTCAATAAAATTCAAACATTTTAATTCAATCAACATAGATTTGAAAAAAGGAACTATTCTTAACCTCTCCTTTCGGTCACTTTTCTTTACACACATTGTAGTCAAAGGGGGGAAATAAAAAAAATTGGAATCTTTTTTTCATTTTTAATAGAAGTGACAATATATAGTATTAAATGCAAGCCAATGCTGAAGCTTGCAGTCAGATGTTAATTCATAAACAAAACAAAAAAGAAATGAAATAAGTAAAGGAGAAAAAGAAAAAGAAAAAGAAAAAGAAAAAGAAAAAGAAAAAGAAAAAGAAAAAGAAAAAGAAAAAGAAAAAGAAAAAGAAAAAGAAAAACTGCACATTATAACCCCAGGAAACACTGCTTTCCAGAATTATTTTAAATTGCCCCCCACAGGTTCACAGCTAACGGGATATTTTTAATTAGACTAGGGCTTAACTAAATCTTTTGGTAGCCCACTAAACCATTTTTATAGTCTATATTGTTTTAATATTGTAAATAGATTTTCTTAAGCATATGGGAAAACTACAGCTCATGAAATACAAGAAGTACATTTTTCTTCCCAGCCTATCCAGCTCAAGTTACCCAAGTGCAGTCCCGCAGACCTGAGGCAGGCATGATCCTGCACGGGCCCTGCTGGATCCCCAGAGCTGGGCCACATCCATCCACGGCTCCCTGTAGCCCCTCTCCGCAGCAAAACTCCCACCGGCATCCAGCGGTGTTGCCTGAAAGAGATTGTGTGAGGCCTGAGGAACCGAGATCGCGATCAGTTGAGTTTAATATGAACTTTTATTGCCATGGGAAAGTCTTCGTTATCCAAACTTATACCAAACTGGAATTCATTAACCCCTTCAAGGCAGGCCACAGCTGCTGTTCCTGCGCAGTGACTGGGGTGTGTGTAGGGGTGTGTTTTTTTCTTTTTAATCTATGTCATTAATTTTCTATTTAGAGATGACAACAAGTCCTGGGAACAGAGGAATGCTTAGCATTGGGGTGGACACACCATGTCCATGATGCTTCTCTGCTGTATAGCTTGGGGTGTGCAAAATAGAAGTGTTGCGCACAATCAGATCTCCCAGAAATCTTAAAAAATAAAACAAAACAAAACACTGCAGATGCAATACAACTCAATAATTTTGGAGTCCCATGTGACTAATGTTGCTCATTTTTTGGTAATGTGATGATCAGGTGGAGTCTCACCATAATTTATGGCAGTATTAGTATCTGACCTTTGAGATTTGGCTGTTTTCAGCAAGTGAACTCTGTAGGTATCATACAGAAAATCATATCACTGGGCTAATTAATTGACAAGAGGGCCTGATGTAAAGAAATGATTTTTCATGCAGAGGACATTGAGAGTCAATTTTTTCCAAAAGGCAGCAAAACATGAAGTTTCTGACACAAAATAATTGGTCATAACAAATTGTACACAGAATACAGATGTTTCAGAGTAATGGTAGTAAAACGCCTTGAATAGGAATAGCAATTACACTTGAGCACAACCATTAATTTTTAAATTTAAGTTAAGAAGGGGGGACAACCCATAATTATATTAAGAATTTGCTCATTTGATCCAGAATAACATTTTTAATGAATTCTATCTGGAGCCAAGAACTGTAAAAAAGCTTGCCCTGCAGAAAATGCACTTTTAAAAACCTATTTGCTCTGAACGAAATGTTATTTTTACAGTGAGTCCTCACTTTATAGCAGACACATGCTTGTAAAAGCTGCCATTGTTTGTGTGGAAAGTGGGAGAAGAAAAAAAAAACAAGGGAAAAAATTGGCAGATGCTTTACCTTTCAGCATCCCAGCCATCTTTAAGATGGCTTCCCCAGCCCTGGCTCTGCCTATGAGTCACTGGCACAAGCAGCCCTGTAGTGTGCTGCAAGCATGTGTCTAACCAAGGACCTCAGGCTGCAGCTCTTGGGGACCAGAACAGAGTGTCATCCTTTGCTCCAGCTCTTAATTATGTCTTTAGGAAGACCTCTAATGACCGATGCAGGCTCCTCTGGGGAGGAAGGCAAAATGTGGTGAGGCAGCAGTTGTGCTGCCATCGCTTAAGGCCTGTAACCTGCTGGGGCCATGGAAGTGGGAGGAGGTAAGGTGAAGTGTGCTGCTTCGTCTTCTGACACTTGCAGAGAAAGCTACATGCTGTGGACACGTCCACACCTGCTGGGAAAGGACCCTCCCTTGGGCATATGCATAAGGAGAGGAAGATTTATCTGCCAGGTACCTCACCTTATCCCCAGAAGATGGGAGAATGCCTTACCTCTCTGAAGTGGTAGGGAGAGGGTGTTTTTAATTCAAGTGGAGGAACTAGCTGCTTCAATTTTATTGCAGAATCACGCTAGTAATGCATCCAGATTACTGAAGCTCATGGTAAGGAAGTAAGTTTATAAAGACTTTGCCATTGTCCTGCTGCTAATGTGCCACATTTGATTCTCCTCAGCTGGCTTTGAAAGGTCTCTTTGAGGAAGGAGGAGATAGCACCCTTGCTTATGAAAAAGGCAAATTATACCCAGGGGCAACATCGCTGCACAACAGGAAAAGGCCAGCCTCCTCCCAGGAGACATGGCCCCAAATTAAATGCAAGTAATTTCCTGACTAACCTGTGATTTCTATCTGGTTGTGGCTTCTGGCATACAGCTAAGTCTCCGGTTCTGCTGTTCTGTTCAGCAGGTCTCACATGTGCTTTCACTTTCATTTCCAAACTTTAATACAGAACAGCCCATCCACAACCTGCTGCCGAGGCAGCAGAGGCCAGGGATGCTGGCTCTGGATCGGGTGGCCACAGGCAGGAGGAAGGACTGGTTGCTTGGGGAGGTGACACACCAGAGGGGTCCCTTGGCCACAGTGGCAATGGGTTGGCAGTGGAGGTGAGTATGGAGAAAAAGGAAACGTGATCCTGCAACTGGTCCCTCTGCATTTCGTATGAGATTGAGAGTCAACTGGGTCTTGGAACTGGCTGCTGCCTTCCCTTATCACCAACCTAAAAACTGTGGAGCGCTCTTAGGTGTCGGGCTAGAATCATGCAAGCCAATAGCTTTTTCTTCTAGAGTGGGCAGGTCTCCATCTAGAAAAGCACTGGTATTAGGTCACAGTGACTTTGTTACAGCCCCAACAAAACATTCAGTGACAGATGCGAAGGGAGATTGTCCCTTAGCTGTCCTGTGGCTGGCTGGGCATCTGATCAGGAGGAGACACCTTGTGAAAGGGATGAGTAGTAGCGGGCCTCCATGGGTTGTGGGATGGGAGGAGAGAGCCCTCAAGAATAACATAAATTACTTTCAGCCTTTCTGTGATTTCTTCTAGGAGAAAGCACTGCCTGGGAGTACGGAACAGGAGACACAACAGCCTGCAAGCTTCAGTGGGCAAGTGATGACAGATTTGTTTTACTAAAAGTACTCTGCCATAATTTATCACAAATACTACTCTTCCTCTTGAACTTTTGCAGCATTTTGATAATGTTTGTAGAATTTGGGTAAGTCAATTGGCCGACCCTCTTTTAAGTAATCAGTGAATGGTTGAAAAGCTCATGCAAAGAAATGCAGGGAGATGCCAGAATTATCTAAATTTTAGACTAGTGTGTATGTGGCAAAAACACAACACAAGCTCCCTTGCTGCTCCTTGGTATCTACAAAGATGGTAAGTTATCAGATATTGAATTATTTTTTTCTTAATGAACTGGCACTTTAAAGAACTATAAAATCAAAAAGCACCAGAATTGGTTCTAATGCCTCATTTAGATTCAGCCAGAGAAATGAGAAGTGTCAGTCTTTTACTATTTAAGGCCCAGAGTAAAACCATTTTTATGATGATGTTACAGTTTCATTTGGGACTGCTATTTTGCCCTTGCTCATTTGTTTAACCTAAATAGCTAATCTCTAGTGTGTATTCAGCCATACCAGCAAAAATTTTCATTCCACTGGTATTGGTATAACTTAATGGTGTGAGTAAATTCATACTGGTCACCACGTAAGGAAGAGGCTGTAACATAAAGAACCTGTACCATTTTTATTATGTTGATGTAATCAAAATAATAAAACCTGTGCATGTAAATGATAAGGGATATTAGTGCCATGTTGTTGAGAAATTGGCACAGGAACAGCAGTGAATTAAATACATCTGGGAATAAGAAGCTAATTCATATAGTAAATAATAGGTTGCACAAATTTAATCAGTTGGAGAACTATTACATGCGTAAGTGGATACTCTGCAGGGGGAAAACTTACATTTGATGAGCAGGACTCAACAGTCAGTTTACTCTGGATTTTGCTGTGAAAATTCCTATTTATTTCAAGTCAAGGGAGTTTTCATGTTGAGGGATTCATGTTAATTTTGGAAATAACTGACGTGTATGAAAAAGCATAGATTTGGATTTGGATTTTGTTGTACTGCCCTTCAAAGGGCAGGAGGTTTGCTTCCATACATCTCTAGCCAAAACCCAAATGAACCCCAAAGTCCAAGTAGAAACAGAGGCAATGTTGCCAATTTCATCTTAATTTCTGATTAAAACCACGTGAGAAATGATCGGTTTTGGTAAGTGTTTTTTTTTTTTTTTTTTTTTTTTTTTTGTGAAATGTCCCTGCTTACAATAGGAATATTAGATGTTTCATTTTTCCTGAGTATTGCTTCTGAGGAAATGCCATAGCATTGTATTTACAAGATACCCTGAACTGTCAGTTTCCTTGAAACACAATGTATTTAATACAAAGCCATTAAGCCTTGTAAAACTGTCAAAAATGTAAATGACACTTGTAATAAAACCTTGTCGTGTGACCGGCTCTAGCTAATCAGGGTTGATGATATCACTGCAGCTGATCACGGCTGGTGCTATGTACATTTCGACAGCTTTATGACCTGCATGGATTTGTGTTATTAAAATTGTACAGTTTTGTAAGGAATTTGGGATTTAATAAAGCAGCAGAGAAACTACAAAAGGGACAATATATCCCACTAAAAGTGAGCCAGCCTTTTAAAAAAATAATATAAACATATATGGTGCACTAGTGTTTGTGGGCGTGTGTGTGGATGTGTGGATGCGAATAGCAGAACCAGGAGAGGTTCTTGTCTCCTAGCTCGTGCAGGGTACGGGCTGCTCATATAAACCACTTTTATGTATTTATAGCTCGGCAAATACCTTGCATCTGTGAGGCCATAAAACAAATTACAATGTATCCAATTGCTTCAAGGTGGCGAATTGTGCTTAAACTTAATGACTTGTACAGATTATAGGAGAAAGAGCATTACCTGTTTAATGTCTTTTTTAATAAGTAATTCCTGAACAAGTATAGTAAATGGGAGGTTGGGTTTTTGGTTTGGTTTGTTCCTTCTTTTTTTTTTTTTTTCCTTTTTCCCTGAGATTTAAATAGAGCAGGCCTTCATCCTTGCAAACACAAGGTAATGTGCAGCCTTATTTATTTTGCAATACTTTGAACTGCTCCCCAGAGTAAAAACATGTCAAAAGAGGGGAGACGAGGACACATATTCTCCCAATAATCTATAAATTCAACCTAATGGGGCAGATATCAGAAAAATGTGTTGGATTGAAGGCACATAAATCACACCTGGTTTCCTGGCATAAGCTGGCACTGTGTGCCTTATATTTCAGCCAAATTATTCCATTTGTTTCTGAAGATATTTTAATCCCTCGTGACCTCAAACTTCCCGTGAACCAGGCCCCGAACAAACGGCCGCCCACTGTCTTTGCAGTAAATCTGTTGTCTCCCTTCTAGGTCCG